GGAAAAACTATTGGATATCAGAGCGACGGTAACTCACCAGCATTACGACCAGGAATACGACTTTCCCGAAGCAGATCCTTTGTTTGCTCTCCCCAGAGCAACTGAACTGATTCCAGCGGCTGACCCAAAACATCGCCGGCGGAGGAGAGGCACTCGGAGCGGCCTGCTGGTCCAACTGCTTCCAAGTATTCTACTCGCTAATGTTCAATCTTTAGTTAACAAAGTCGACAAACTACGGGCAAGGATTTCTTTCCAGAGAGACATCAAGGCCTGTAACATACTCTGTTTCACGGAAACATGGCTCTCTTGGGATATTCTGTCGGAATCGGTCCAGCCAGATGGGTTCTCAGTTCATCGCGCAGACAGGAATAAATATCTCTCCGGGAAGCAGAAGGGCGGAGGTGTGTGTTTCATGATTAACGACTCGTGGTGTAATTGTAGTAACATAGAGGAACTCGAGTCCTTCTGTTCACCAGACCTAGAGTATCTCACAATCAAATGCCGACCGTATTATCTCCCAAGATAATTTTCTTTGGTTATAGTCACGGCCGTGTATATCCCCCCTCAAGCCGATACCACGACGACCCTCAAAGAACTTCACTGGACCTTATGCAAACTGGAAACCACATATCCTGAGGCTACATTTATTGTAGCCAGGGATTTTAACAAAGCAAATGTGAGGACTAGGCTGCCAAAGTTCTATCAATATATCGACTTCTGTACAGACTTCTGTACATTTGCTTACCGCCCCAATAGATCCACAGACGATGCAATTGCCATCACACTGCACACTGCCCTATCCCATCTGGACAAGAGGAATACCTATGTAAGAATGCTGTTCATTGACTATAGCTCAGCATTCAACACCATAGTACCCTCCAAGCTCATAATTAAGCTCGAGGACCTGGGTCTGAACCCCGCCCTGTGCAACTGGGTCCTGGACTTCCTGACGGGCCGCCCCCTGGTGGTGAAGGTAGGAAACAACATCTCCACTTCGCTGATCCTCAACACTGGGGCCCCACAAGGGTGCATGCTCAGCCCCCTCCTGTACTCCCTGTTCATCCATGACTGCGTGGCCAAGCACGCCTCCAACTCAATCATCAAGTTTGCAGACGACACAACAGTAGTAGGCTTGATTACCAACAATGACGAGACCTCCTACAGGGAGGAGGTGAGGGCTCTGGGAGTGTGGTGCCAGGAAAATAACCTCTCACTCAACATCAACAAAACAAAGGAGATGATCGTGGACTTCAGGAAACAGCAGAGGGTGCACCCCCCTATACACATCGACGGGACCGCAGTGGAGAAGGTGGAAAGCTTCAAGTTCCTTGGCGTACACATCACCGACAAACTGAAATGGTCCACCCACGCAGACAGTGTGGTGAAGAAGGTGCAACAGAGCCTCTTCAACCTCAGGAGGCTGAAGAAATTTGGCTTATCTCCTAAAACCCTCACAAACTTTTACAGATGCACAATTGAGAGCATCCTATCGGGCTGTATCACCGCCTGGTATAGCAACTGCACAGCCCACAACCGCAGGGCTCTCCAGAGGGTGGTGCGGTCTGCCGAACGCATTACCGGGGGCAAACTACCCGCCCTCCAAGACACATACAGCACCCAATGTCACAGGAAGGCCAAAAAGATAATCAAGGACATCAACCACCCGAGCCACTGCCTGTTCACCCGGCGAGGTCAGTACAGGTGCATCAAAGCTGGGACAGAGAGAATGAAAAACAGCTTCTATCTCAAGGCCATCAGACTGTTAAATAGCCATTACTTGCACATTAGAGGCTGCTGCTGCCTATTGAAATCACTGGCCACTTTAAGAAATGGAACACCAGTCACTTTAAGAATGTTTACATATCTTGCACTACTCATCTCATATGTATATACTGCATTCTATTCTATAATATACTTCTGTATCTTAGTCCATGCCCCTCTTTCATTGCTTGTCCATATATGTATATATTCTGAAATCCCATTACTTACTTTTTTGTGTGTATTGGGTATATGTTGTGAAATTGTTAGATATTACTGCACTGTCGGAGCTAGAAGCACAAGCATTTCGATACACCCGCTATAACATCTGCTAAACACGTGTATGTGACAAATAAAATTTGATTTGATTTGATTTGATTTGATTTATATGAACTGTAACTCAGTAAAATCTTTGAAATTGTTGCGTGTTGCGTATTTTTGTATTTCTCAGTATACTACTCAGTCAAGAGTTCTGGAGGAAATGCACTTGCCCTGTAACCACAATGACCTCATCAAGCCCTGCTCTAGATGGTCCCCTTCATCACTCTCTCCATGATCAGCTAAGTGCTGACTGTGTGATGAGACAAGAGAAGAGGCAGGAGGGTGCTAAGCCTGTGAATGCTGTTTCTACATCCAGCCCCATCTTGTCTCATTAGCCCAGACTGATTGGGCATGAAGGTGTTCCCTCGCTGTCTCAGGATAAAGTGAGTGTCTTCGCCACTCACCAGACCATCATTCTTTAGTATTCCAGCATCAGTGCAAGCTGAGAAGCCCCTCACACACACCACAGTATATCATTACCAGAGGCTGTGTAGGAAGCCTAATTGACCTGGTTGAAACCCAGAAACATTGACCTTGAGATTACACCTCAGTATCATGATGATGCTGCTGACAGATAGGGGAGTGTGTGTTAGAGTGAGATAGAGAAAGAGAGAAATAAAGAGAGAGAGGAGAGAGGATAGGAGAGAGAGAGAGAGAGAGAGCAGAGAGAGAAGCAGAGTGATTTACCGTCGACAGTTCTATGCTTCAGATCCTCGTAAGCAGTTCACTCGATATTGCTCACCTAGAGACTCCATATGAGTCGACTAGCTGGCTCAGAATTATCTGCAGAGAGCTGACATGCCCCTTCTCTAGTTTCCCTCGTCGCTCTTATCGTTGCTGCTCATGTTTATCTGCTCGCTGGCGCTCGCTCACTCTCATCCGCATCTGCCCTCTCATCACCTCTGCTGCCTCTCTCCTCCTCTCGTCTCTACTCCTCTCTCTTCTCTCCCTGTTCTCTCTCTCTCTTTCTATTTCCCTCTTTCTTCCTCCCTCTCTCTCTCTCTCTCTCTCCTCTCTCTCTCTCTTCTCTCTCTCTCTCTCTTTCCTCTTTCTTCTCCCTCTCCTCTCTCATCCCTCTCTCTCCTCTCCTTCTCTCTCTCTCTCTCTCAGTAGTAGAGAGGCCGACGTAGGCAGATCTGGCTCTCAAGAGAAAACAGGCTATGTGCAGCAAGATTTGTGACCTGTTGCCACAAGAAAAGGGCAACCAGTAAAGAACAAACAACATTGTAAATACAACCCATATTAATGTTTATTTATTTTCCCTTTTTTACTTTAACTATTTGCACATTGTTACAACACTGTATATATACATAATATGACATTTGAAATGTCTTTGTTCTTTTTGAACTTTTGTGAGTGTAATGTTTACTGTTCATTTATATTGTTTATTTCACTTTTGTTTATTATCTACTTGCTTGGGAAATGTTAACATATGAAATAAAACATTAATTCTGCATTCTGCAAAGGTTGGTTAAAGGGAAATCTTTATTTCGGGGGTAAATAAATGACATGTCCCCTAAGGAACACTGTCTTCTGAATTGTTTTCATAGATGTAGGATACACTTTTTGTCAGTAGATGGCAATATCAGCCCAAATAATGTCTAGCCAGCTTGCCTTTTTGGATGGTTTGGTTCGTTCTGAAACCCTAAGAATGAGAGGTTTCAAATAATCGATTATACTCAATCATTGAATGTATGCAGTTATTTACTTATTAAGATGACTTATTATAACTTTATTTTTTGTGAAAAATATCTCACAAGCATATTAGTACATGGCAAAAAAAAAAAAAAATCGCAGACAATTTAGTCATCATGTCATGATGATCTTATTGCAAGACAGCTACCAGTTTGTTGAGTTATCATTGCACCCCTTGCCAGTCCTTGTCGTGCCAAACATTTGGCATGACACGGAATACAATGAGTGGAATGTTAGCAAAACAGATTATACAATTCAGGCAAAAAACTGTAGGCTACTGCATGCATTGCTATTCTCAGGACACAGTTTGAACTGGCTTAAAATAGTTATTCATTTTTTATGTGCCAAATAGACGCGTACACTTTGAGTGGAATCAATATAAGTTATAAATGAAGAGCTTTTTATTAAGACAGAAGGAGAAAGCAGGGGGGAGAAAGGCTCAAACTTGAGGATAAATATAGTCTAGTGTCGCAATAGTCAATGAAGAGTTATATGATCCCCCTGACGTATCCATCATTCTGAAACGGAGAGGCGCATTTAGATTGCACACTGACGGGTGAATGTCGCCACGCATGTCACTTTTAAAAGCAGTGGTTGGGGTTTCTAATAGGAGGCAGCGCCTTGCAAACATATGTACTCAAGCGTGTATACAGATGGTAACTCGAATAATAGACCCGAGCGCCCCTTTATAAAGCTGTAAGCAGCTCCTCAGATCACAACGTGTGTGCGCGCAGAGCCACTATACCCAAACGGAGAGGGACAGAGAGAGACAGAGGGAGAGAGCACGCGGGATTGTTTGTTACCGTTCCATTAATTCAAACGTTAACCTGATTGGGTAGAGAGAGGGCGGTAGAGAGAGTGAGAGAGAACTATGTCCCAATAGGCAAATCCTCTTCATATTAACCCGCCTCGAGATAATGATGTAAAAGACTCCTCCGTTCTTGCGCGTGATGCTGATCGCCGTAGAGATCTGCTGAAGGTGAATCAGAGGGAGATAAGGAGCGCGAGCGCAGAGAGCAGTGCGAGAGAGCAGAACAGAGGGCGAGAGAGAGAGCCGACGTGTCTCCAGCATCTCAGTTGACAAGTCGAGCAATAGTAAGCCATCAAGACCAACTCACTCTCTCTGACAGCGCACAAGGCAAGACACATATACAAGAGCTGTCGCCGGGAGAGAGTCTCCAGAAACTGCCACCCACTAAAGCAGCGTCTGGAGGAGAGGAAGTGCTATGGACAGGAGAATGAACTTGAACGGAGCGGGAGATATTTTCCACAAAACTCTCAGCGCAGTCTCCAACAAAAAGATGGACTCCTTCAGGTCGGCGGCTGGTGTTGACCTGCCGGGGTCCAGGGACCACCAGTCACCCATCAGCTGTTTCGACCAGACCGACTCGGACCCGATTCAACCCGGTGGACTGGCTGGGGGTCGAGGGGGGCCGCTGGGTCTGCCTACGGGATCTTTGTGCGTCAAATTCGGAGAGAGCAGCAACAGGACCTCGGCGGCCGAGAGCAGTGGCGGGGAGCAGAGCCCGGACGATGACAGCGACGGCAGATGTGAGATGGTCCTCCTGGCCGACGGGAGAACGGTGGCCGCCGGTAAACCGGAGGGAGGTAAGAAAAACAAAGAGCAGAAAACTCTCAGACTAAACATCAACGCGCGGGAGAGACGGAGGATGCACGACCTGAACGACGCGCTGGACGAGCTGCGCTCTGTCATCCCATACGCGCACAGCCCCTCCGTGCGGAAACTCTCCAAAATCGCCACTTTGCTGCTCGCCAAAAACTACATCCTCATGCAGGCTCAGGCTCTGGAGGAGATGAGGAGGCTGGTGGCCTATCTGAACCAGGGCCAGGCCATCTCAGCGGCGTCTATACCCGCCACCACGGCTCTTGCTGCTCCGGGTCTACCAGGTCTGAGTGCGGGGATAAGTGCTTACGACCAGCCGCCTGTGTACCCCTTCGCCACCGGATTGGCCGGGTCATCCTGCCCCGACAAATGTGTCCTTTTCAACAACGTCACCTCGAGCCTGTTTAAACAATGCACTGACAAGCCTTAGCTGAATCATAACAACGGGCCGGTACCAGAGACTCAGAGAAGCACATCGAGAGCGAACAACACCACTTTTTAAAACAAACTACGACTTTGGAGAGAAGAGGTTCGAAGCCAGTGTAGACCGAGAAAAGTCAAGCCGATGATGAGTACATTTATAACATTTACAAATGCATTCGAAGAAGCGCTTTTTGTTCAGACAATACTTGATTGTGTATATATAAAGCATCCTTTAAGTGCTGGTATGAATGAAAGTGAAAAACCAAACAGAAATGTATGAGTGTCTTGCAAGTGGTGATGAATTGACAGTTGTTTATCACTTGCGCAAATATGGACCCTATATGAAGAGTTGTGACCTGACAAAAACATGCGGCCATTTCACTTGAATAGATGGAACAACTTAAGACATTAGTTAATATAAGAAACCACAACCTTGCTGCTTTACTTACTTTATTTATAACTTAAGAGGGTGTTTTCTTATTGGTGGTTATTTGGTGATCTTTTGAGAATGTATTGAGGAACTAAGAGTCTGAGGGAAAGCAAAGCGAACTAAAATGAATACGAAATTAGTTGTTTTTATCTTTCAATCCAGAGTTTATAGTCATTTACATATTTTTGTTGTATCAAACACTTGTGCTACATTGACAGTTTCCTTGGCACTGTACTATAATGACATTTGAGTCTCTAAAAACCTGTATGTTCAGTTCATGTTCTTTTAGATTTGTCCTTTTTTATTTATTGATTTGATGCATTTTATTTGCATGGAGGTACTGTATTCTGCATTAGCGACTTGTCTAATTTGCGTAATTTCTTACACACCCATGCAATAAGGCCGGAGTCTTGAGGGATCAGGCGCGCTGTCAGGTCAAGCAGTGGATTCTTGTAGATACATTAGTTATTAAAAGAATAAAGAGGGTAATTTGTATGTGTTTATGTGTTGGAAAGCTTTATTAAAATATTTTGAACAAAACGAATACCTTCGTCTGCTCGTCTGATGAAGTCACTGAAAGTGGAGTAATTTAAGAGAACGAAGCCGGGACTGAAATATATTCTTCAGAGAATGGCCATTTTGTCTCATTTATCTTCGAAAAATCTGAACGTGGTATAAGGAAATAATAAAAAATCTAAAAAATATCTGAAGAAATGGGATTGTGCACCTGATTATCAACTAAAATATTATAACATTATAATTCTCTATTCATGGGCCATAGCCTAAATAACAATCCATTTCAATTTCTCCTTTTCTCAGGTCATATTTTACTGAAACCAAAAAGTGCTTGTTGATCCGCGGAAAGTCGCCACATGCCAAGCATGTTGTAAAATAATAATGAGTTGATAATTTTATGCTCCATCACAAACGGTAACTTTTCTGGACCTTGAGATGTAAAGTCACACGAAGCCTTGGGAGCAAACGCCAGACGTGATGGGCAACGTTGCCCCGCGGCTAGAAGGACTTGTCTGTTAATATTACACCACAAAGCTCGGCCAGGCTTAATTATTATTATTAGAACAATTTCCATGACGCTGTCTAATAATTTGTTAATTCGACAACAACTGTGTATGAAAACTGTCGACTGAAATACCTACATTCGTTTAATGAAACACATCGTTAAGGCAATTAGACCTCCAGAATGTGATTAAGGAACGTAATTACGACACTGTTCATTGCAGTAATTGGGTGTCTTTAATCACGACGTAGCACGGTGATCGGCGGCACTGCATTTGGTGTGTATTGTTCTGCTTCTCTTGTCCATCAGCAGGACTGAGATTAAAAGACAGGGTCAAAGGGCAACCCCGGAAAATTGTGTTCAAACTGAAGCAATTGTCTATTATCCTAGAAATCACACATTTAATCCAATTGATGTAGGATAGACCACAATAGGAGCTGGTCAAAGAGGATATCTAGGAAATTGGATAAATAATCTGATCTACATTTTTAAGCCTTCAACTTTTCTCTCTGTTGCAAATGATTGCGACAACAGCAGGCTATTTGATACTGTGACGTTTCACAGCATCAGAAGATATTCAACCTTTTTTGATTAACTAAAATAAATTAAGAAATTAAAACAAAAGCAAACGACAGCAAAATAGATATTAACAACAATGATAATTATTGAAAAAATAATGGTATTTCAAGATAATATATAAGAACAAAGAGTTTTATTTCTTATTTTTTAATATTTGGTGCTATAGCCAATATTTTATCAAGTATTCTATGAAGTATTAAAAATCATATTTTGTTTATATCCATATTGAATATCTGAGCCACTTAGTCGGGTCTTCTAAGTAAAAGTAAACTATTTGATGGCAGTGGTCGTCAATGCAATGTTTCAGCACCATGGACAGCGCTAATCTTCGTTTTGAGACGTTTTCAGTGGGGCTTGCTGAAGACAACTGCAGAATGTTTTTTTTAACTGAACAACTACTTTAGAAGCAGATAAACATGGGTATATTGACACAGCTCTGTCAAATACCCTTTTGTCAGTAAACTATGGGATAAGTCTACTCTTTCTGATCCATAGACAAATAACTAAACTATTTATCTGGTAAGCCTATAAGGCTGTCTTTAATAATGGAAAACAATTACTTAGAATTGATTTTGATTCATCTTTGAAATAAACAATTCAATTGAATTATAAAATACATTATAGTCTTTTCAATTGAAATGTATTTCACATAAATTCGAAATAACCAAAACATGTATTGTTTCTAAAGCAGAAACATGGATTTAGCATATAAATGCCATTGAAATATAGCCCAGTATGCCTCTATGTACATGTTGTCCATTTAAATAATTTACGTCTGATACATGAGGCTCAGAGAACGGAGGATATTACACACTGGCACTGTAGAATATCCTAGATTATCATTTTTTTTTTAAACACACATTTATTAGCAGTGTTTCCTTCAAGTGCGAGCCAAGATCATACAGAGTCCTGTACATTAGCCATCACTATTCTAAGGATCTGAATATCCATCTGACATGGTCTATTCTACCCAGTTCACGGCTTTGTCATATTTCTGTGCCAGTTTCCCATCTAGAACCCAGTGTGTGTATGTGAGCCATTTAGACAACAGAGTCATTATACTGTCCTATCGAATCCCATCAAGCGCATAAACGGCTTGAATCACCACACAATGAACCTTAATCAGGAGGGGAAATAATCAGGCACACATCAAGAATGGCTCTGGCATATAAATACTGTCAGCAATTACTGCTAGAAATCATCTCGTTTCATGAGCTGACACACAAGACTGGATTGTTTCAGCTTTCAGCTTTCAGCAATCTTTCCAGTAGTAAAATAACTACAGTGCACATTTTTACACACACCATAGTAATGACAGACAGCTAATTGTGCCATTGGAAACTGAGACTTCACAAAAACATTATGCAATATGCATTAATGCATAAATTACTGGAGAATTGAAACCATACTAATACTCACATTAGCCCAATAGAACCTCTTCCCCATGTGTGTGAGGAAGAACCAGAACCATATCAAAAGGAAACAGGAACTAGGCACCTATGGTAAAAAAATAAAAACAGTTTAGTTTTCGAAAATATTTGTCAGAATGTGATGACTTCTACAGTGGTAAACTGTGTGAGGTAGCTTGATATCATTGTGTTTGATCTGTTATCTTATTCTGAGTCTTTTGTTGTTTTCACTGATTCAGACCTGCAAGTTTGTTGAAGAGGGAGTGGAGGAGAGTTTGACTGTAATGTTTTTTCCCCATCACATCAGTTCATGCTGTATAAGTCATAGAGATAGATGAGTGTAGCTATGGTGTATTGTCTGAGCCAAAATGAGGACAGATTCCCAAACTCTGAACAGTACATTTATGGTTCTCTGGCTACTGTATGATGAGACAGTGGTTCACTAAGAGGAATAGAGGTAGGTATCTGACTGTCCCACCAGTGCTCAGTAGCCAGCAGGCTAACAGTAGCCAATAGCCATAATTTTATTCACAAATCTAATAAAGCCAAACCTGTCTTAAAGGTGTTTATGACTACACTCAGAGGTCATGAATAAAAGGGGAAAGATAAAAAAGCCCCCTTTTCATAAACCATAAAATATCCAATTGACCATATCTAGAGCCACCAGGGTACCTATCCATAACATGAATGTGATGTATGCTAAGGATGATAAACATGAAATACACATAAGCGCAGTGAATTTAACTGTCCCTTTCATATCAATAACAGACAAATACTCTGGGAATACTCTGGGACCCATGTCAGGTCATAACGGGGGAGTGAAGATACATGTCCTGCATTGGGCTCAGCCACCCAATATCAACCGCTGGGCTGTACAGATGTAGGATTGTAATTTGATCACTATTTTGTTGTGAGAATTTATTTTCCTGCCAGCAGGAAATGCAACCTTGTAGTGTATTTGAGGTTTAAAAAGGCTTCTAGTTTGTAATTTCCACTTTGACATTTCTGACTTGATTTGCCCAAACGAGAAATGTATCAACCCCTACACAAATGTCCATTAATTATAATCCACATTATAATGTACATTTCCTGTTGCTGCAGGATTCTTTTCCTGCCTTAGCAAACTGGCTCAAATTAAGATCCTACATCTGTAACTCACTTTGGTCAGGCACACGCTACCAATGTGTCATGTAGGTAACCTAGGCATGCAGGCTACACTGTTAATGCAACTCTACAGTACACTGAAAAGGGGGCAATACTGAGACTAGGACTGAGGGGCTTATCGAAACAAATGAGAAAGTAAACACAGCAAGTGAGATCAGATTAGGATTATATAAATATATACAGTGAGAATAGTTCATGTATGCTTATCCTAAGACTCTGTTTCACAATTGGAATGTGTTTTGCTCATTTGAAGGCAGTCTCAGGTCACTTGGAGGATGTTGTATGGTGGACCTAGGAGAGCTCTACTCCTAAAACGTCATTTCAGTGGCCTGAAATGAACTGCTGGCTGTGTGGTTTCTCTGACTGAATAAGAACTCATATAGAGTATGAGATGAATAAGTAACACA